AGGCCGAACTCTCAAGGCGATTGGCCAAATGGGCCGTAGAAATCAGCAGGTACGATATTGCGTATCAGCCCCGGATGACCATTAAATCTTAAATTTTGGTAGATTTCGTGGCCGACTTCACGTCGGCCCTAATACCCGAGGTTGAAAAAGAGTAATTAATAAACTCTGTGACGTCTTCAGGAATCTGGACCCTCTTTACAAACAGTGCATCGAACGTAAAGGGGTCCGGACTTGGCATCATACTGAAGCCACCCACAGGCAATATAGTTAGGCAATCCATTTGAACTGTAAAGTGACTAACAACGATGCCGAATATGAGGCCATGATTGTAGGTCCCGAACTGGCAAAGATCATAGGGGCGGAGGTGATCTAAGCTAAGTGCGACTCCCTCCTTGTGGTAAATCAAGTTCACAGAACGTTCGAAGTCAGAAAAGAACAGATGCAAAGGTACCTGGATAAGCTACAGGTAACATTACATCGATTCAAAGAGTGGACTTTGCAGCACGTACCTCGAGATCATAATAGTGAGGCCGATGCACTTGAAAACCTAGGCTCTTTGGTCAAGGACGATGAGCTCAAATCGTGGGCAGTTGTACAGCTCATGAGATCGGTAGTAGAGATGGGTCACGCCAAAATAAACTCTACAAGCCTAACTTGGGATTAGAGGAATATATAAATACATAGAATATTTGAAGACTGGCAAAGTACCCTCAGATCCTAAAGAGTCGAGGGCCCTGCACACAAAGGTAGCTCGATTCAGCTTGTCCGAGGACAGAGCCTTGTTCAGAAGAATGTTTGATGGCCCACTAGCAATATGTCTAGGACCGGGAGATACCAAGTACGTTTTGAGGGAAGTTCACGAAGGTACCTGCGGGACCACTCAGGCGCCGAATCATTGGTTCGAAAGGTAATCAGAGCCCGATATTACTAGGTCGATACGGAAAAAGATGCGAAGGAATTCATACAAAAGTGTGATAAATTCCAAAGACATGCTCCGATGATTCATCAACCCGGAGAAACGCTGCATTCGGTCTTGTCGCCATGGCCATTCAGAAGTGGGGAATGGACATTGTTGGCCCTCTTCTATGGGCACCAGGTAAGGCTCAATTTATCTTATTTATGACTGACTATTTTTCTTAGTGGGTTGAAGCCCAGGCATACGAGAAGGTCAGGGAGAAGGAAGTCATCGACTTCATTTGGGACCACATCATATGTCGGTTCGGGATGCCATCCGAAATTGTATGTGACAACGGGAAACAATTTATCGGCAAAAAGTGAACAAGTTTCTCGAGGATCACAAGATCAAAAGGATATTGTCCACACCTTATCACCCAAGTGGGAAGGGACAATCCGAATCGACCAACAAAACCATAATCCAAAACCTGAATAAAAAGTTGACCGACGCCAAAGGAAAATAGAAGGAAATTCTTCCCGAAGTTCTTTCGGCATACCGCACAACCTCGAAATCCAGTACCGGGGCTACCCCATTCTCATTGGTTTATGGCGCCGAAGCTCTAATAGCGGTCGAAGTCGAGGAGAAAAGTATCAGGTTCTGATATGCTACAAAGGAATCAAATGACGAGGCCATGAATACGAGCTTGGAACTATTGGATGAAAGGCGTGAAGCCGCCCTTGTCCGATTGGCCGCCCAAAAGTAGCGGATCGAAAGGTATCATAATCGAAGGGCCAACCTTCGATACTTTAATCTCGAGGACTTAGTACTAAGGAAAGTCAAGTTGAACACTCGAAGCTCGAACAATGGGAAGTTGGGTCCGAATTGGGAAGGACCGTACCAGATTCAGGAAAGGATACTATAAACTCGGAATGATGAACGGGGAACAACTACCGAGCAATTGGAATGTAACTCACCTAAAATGATATTACTGCTAAGGTACGACCCCTTTCATTTCCTTTTATTTTTTGACTAACACTTACAGATGATCGACAAGAAGCAACACGAAGTCTTTAGTTCTGAAAACACGCATTGCACTCTTTTTTTCTGAGAGCGGTTTTGTCCCAAATGGGTTTTTCGGCAAGGTTTTTAATGAGCCAACAGTGAATCGTGCTAACATAGAATAAAAGGCCGATCATGAATCAGTATCGAAGATTGTGTTTACAGTATCCGAAGGTTTCTCTACAATCAACCTCGAATACTTGGGGGCATTACCCTTGGGTATCGAATTTCTTTAGCAAGGAAATTATTTCGTAACGGAAGGGTCTTGATAGGTTGGATTTATTGTAAGGGACAAACGGTCAAACAAACCGTGACCACGTAGATTGCTCGAGCCCTGGCATAAAACACGTACGCATGTATAACCATTTAGCACAAGAATAATGAGAAGTACTTTCCTTGCATTCATCTTATGTTTAAAAAGTTTTCACTTTACATCCCTTAAAGAATTTCGTACTTTTGATCTCCTAAAAGAAACGAACTCGAGGGACGACTATAACCAGAATTCGGATGATCACTCCCTCACTCGGGAACTGCCGTCCGAAAACAAACTCGAACAGATCGAGCTATTAAACATCAAGGATACAAGACCTATTAGGCAACCCCCGAATTTTAAAGGCCACGGCCATACCCACTCGGGGACTGTTATCTTAGGCAAGCCTAGATAACTTGGGGAAGCAAGCCCACTGGTCTACGCCCGAAATTAAAAGGCCACGGCCATATTAACACGGCTCGGAGATGTCTGAGAACCGTTACAAAAAATAGGCCTTCAAAATTTTCATAATTGGTTCTAAAGGCTACCCTCGACAAACTATATTTTGAATTACTTACTTTGGGAGAAAGTTCCCGGTGACACCGAACCCAAGACGCCTCAAAGCAGAATATGGTAAAGGCAAGGTTTGTTCGAACTTACACAATCTAAGTTATTTTATGCTAAGGCATTCCGACCTTTGTGAACACAAGTAATAAAGAAAAGGAAAAATTTGATAGTCAAAAGGGAAAGAAAGCCTTATATATATAACATTCTTTTTACAAAGGCCTGAATGGCCTAATACAAAAATTTACAATGGCCGAAACAGCCTCAAAAAGACGCCAAAGAAAGAAAAAAAATATAAAAGCATATAAAGGCCTAAGTAGCCCGGTCTTCATCGGAAGCAGCATCTCCGTCCTCGGGATCTTCCCCGTCTTTGGACTCGCTTAACTCTCGAAATCTTCCTCGGGAAAGGCTAGCTTCCAGGACCTGGCTTCTTCCGATTTGGCATTCTTCATTTCGGCCAATATATCAAAGTCTTGAGCATGAGCTTCCTCGAGGGCTTCCCTTCGAGCTTGCCACCTTGCATGATCCACCATGCTCTTGGCCTGCGGATGGATGGCCTCGGCGTCGGCCATGAATTGGACCACTTTGGCATCGACCTTGGTATTGGCCAGTGCCACCTCAGATTTAGCCGCCTCAAGTTCGTTGTCCAAGTTTGCCTTATCTGAAATGGCCAAGTCCAGTTCGGATTGAAGCTCCTCGATTTTCTTGACCTGTACCGAGGCTTTCTCTCTTGTGGCCTGGAGCTGGGACTCGGCCAACTCCAGCTCTGCTTGGACGGCCTCCTTTGTCGAGGCTAAAATGTCCGTATTTTTCTTGGACTCCTCAGCCTCGGCTTGTATTATATCTACCTGTGCCTGAAGGTGCCCGATCTATTCAAGCCTCTGACAGCCCTATAAGATCGGATCATTAGTAGTGATCTCCAGTTCGTCTTCACTATCATGAAGTAGTCGAAATAACCGCTCGGCCATCTCGGTATGCTTCCTCCGAGCCGCTTCCAACTCGGCCTGAAGCTTCGCGCTCAGAAGCTTGTAAGCATCCCTCTTCTCGGTGAGTTCCCGAACCTCAGCCTCGTGCTCCTCCCGGATTCGGAGAAAAGCTTCATGATGCAACACCGAAGCCTGCAAGCACGAAGAAAGATGTTAGAATTACTTACAACTTTAAGTTTAAAATAGATAACGAAGTGGCACTTGAAGTTACTTGATCCAAAGCATGTTGGGCCTCATTAAATAGGCAAGGCGCTCCCACCGCATTCATCACGGCCTGGTCTTCCTCGGTCACTAGGCATCTAAGGTAGCTAGCAACCCCCACAGGGGCAGAGAAGACCCAGGCATCCTCCGGGATAGAAAAAGTTATCGACTGCCTACGGTCGGGGTTAACACTTGGGGTCAGGAATTGATCCACTAGTTTTGGGCTCGATGAAGACCTAGAAGCACCCGATGACGGTACCTTCTTTGGCACCGGCAAGTCACCAAGCCCGGTGACATATTCTGAAGCAGTGGACTCGAATCTGTCCAAGAAGCCGTGGATATAAGTTGCCTCCTGAGGTGTTACATCCCGTACTTTAATATTAGGATAAGTCGTAGTAATTCATATGAGCTTGAAGGGATTAAGACCATTCATGAGATTATAGAGGATTTGTGACTATGTTAGTATAAGACCACGTAAGTTACCAACCTTGATACCGTTAGATATTATGTTACTGTGATATTTTCTTCTAAGTGGAGTATTTTAGTAAAAGTTTTATAAGTATAATTTTGAATAGTTACCATTATTTCTATTTTCGGATATGGTAAATTATATTCATAGTATAAGAAAGTTTATGAGATTTTTCTTTATTGTAAAGCTTTAAATTATTTTCGCACAAGAAAAGAACGCTATCTTTTTACCATTTCAAGAATTAAGCGTACGGAAATTTTTACTCTTTATATGAGATTAGGAAAATTATAAGTTGAGAAAATATATGTATTTTTACATGGATGTTTTAATAAAATAATTGTGTATATATTTATTTTATGTGGTATATGACCATGATAGTATGATGTATAAAGTGTTTTAAATAAGTAAAATTTTTAAGTAATTTGAAACAATTCTTAATTATGTGGGTAATTGGTAATTATCTAAAATATTTAGATAAGACCACTACGTGGCAGGCCCATATGGTTCTTTAGAATGACTCGATACATTATAAAGCCGGGTGTCAAATTACTAGGACATATGAAAAGCTATGTCGCAGTTGTTTTCCTCATTTTTTTTAGATTCTGATAACAAGACTCAAGATGGAAATTTGGAGAAATCTTTTCAATTGCTAGGCAAAAGGTATACTACTGATTCCATTTTAAATGATGTTGTTAACCTTTTCTTTGTGTTGGCAAAGAGGGAATTTGTATATATTTATAGCCTTGCTTTCGATATGTATTACTACTATTACTCTTATGAGGAAAATCACAGAACGGCGAGGCATATTAATTTTGATCTTTCTTGATCTAATACCTCTAGTATAGGATATATATATATATTAATAGAAAGTTGTTTTGTAGTAGTTGAACTAACTTCAGTTATTGGGTTTGGATAAATTTGAGGCAAACTAGAGTATTAAACTAAGGAGGCCATGTGAGGTCTTGTATATCAGGCAGATAAGTTCCCTCCACCGTAGTGCATGTTTGATAATTTCGCAGGCCATGGCTATTAAGATGGAATTGTAGTTGTTTTGTATGGAGTGAATCGACAAATATGCATCATTTTATGATTTGATAAATAAAAGCTGATGCTGTATAGAAGTGAGTCTTGTAGTACCTTTATTTTCTAATGTAATTGGATAATTTTGTTTAGAATGAGAAAACCTTTCTTTCTAGATATGAACAGTATTTTTGTGCCCATGAACAATACTTTGAAGCGGGATGTTATGATTACTCTTTAAATCATTATAGATAATATAAAAAGTATACCTATGTAGGAAGGTCTGTATTGTATTGGAAGCTGGTATGTGAAAAGAGTGGTCTAATCCATTGCTTTCGACTGATCCCCATGACAGAGCCGTGGCTCGATTTTGGACTAAATATGTTGACAATAAGGTATGTTAAGGCTAATCCTTCCTTCTTTTGGCATGATCCAAGTAACAATACGTAAACGTAATGATATTCCATGAGTGGTTCTACTCTTAGCAGTTAAGGATGTCTATGTTATTCATTCCCGTAAAGTGATATTCAAGCATGTCTAAGTATGTATCTAGTCCCTATTGAGGTATACGATAGAGATGTTAATGTTTATAATATAGTGATACATGTACATGCATCTTCATTCATTTACCACCGTGCTATGACCGGTCGGGCAGTTACCACCGGTTGGGCAGTTACGTATCATTATTTACCACCGGTTGGGCAGTCACGCATATTCATTTACCACCGAGCTATGGCTGGTTGGGCAGTTACATATTTACCACCGAGCCACGGCCGTTCGGGCAGTCATGCATTTACCACCGCGTTACGGCTGGTCTGGCAGTTACCACTGATCAGTTGGGCAGTCATGAATCATACGATATGGATAATAGAAATAGTCTTAAAGAGAAGCATTATATACGTAAGTATGACAAGTATGCAGATAAGGTAGCATTTCAGAGATTCAGGTTGATTCTTATATGTCTTTAATTAATGTTGACTTATTCTTATGTTTCAATTCTGCCTTACATACTCAGTACATTATTCGTACTGACGTCCTTTTGTTGGGGACACTGCATTCATGCCTGCAGGTATAGACAATCAGTATGACGGGCCCTCATAATAGACAAGGTCAGCATTCAGTGAAGGATCAGTAAGACTCCACCTCATTCGGAGTGCAGCCGAGTCTATGAGTCATCGTGTCAGAGTTGTGCTACAGACTTATGGGTAGGCCAGTACCCTGTCCCATTTGATGTCAAATAATCTTAGAGGCTTTGTAGACAGAGGTTCATTTTGTACAGTATGTGAGAGGCCTTGACGGCCCATATGTATTCATGTTTTAAGAAAAATGGTTCAGTGATACAGTATTGCTAACTTATAGTTATACATTACGAGTTGTGGCCATGTTGGCCCATGATAGTTACAAAGGAAAAAAAAGTTGTAGAGTGGTTCGCTCGGGCTAGTGCGGCACCGGGTGCCAGCCACACCTCCCTAGGTTCGGGGCGTGACATGAGGCCCCTCGTAAGAACGGCTGTCTATCATGCCGGCCTCGCAAATCATGACATCAAAAATCTGTGGGGATCCGGAAATGTCGATCATCCCGAGCTCGTCCCTCTGGACATCTTTTGCCATTCGAGAAGCGTCGCCCCCGGTCTCTCTCTCGACCCTTTTAACTTGGGGCGGAGTGGCCTCAATCCCTTCTGGTTCGGGAACTTCGGCCAAAGCTCCCTCATCGACCTCCTCCGGTTCGGAGGGATTTTGCATCAAAACACCAGTCCACATATAGGCCACCAGTTTGGATCTATCTTCCTCTTCTTCTTCTTCGGACTCATCCCTTAGTCGGTGGACTGAGTCCGAAGGTAGAGCGCCGGAACTTCCCCTGGGCTTGTGAGACCTCCTCGCCGGTCTCTTCTTTTCCGAGTTCAGGGGACTCGAGACCCTTTTTCTCTTCCTGTCGTCGCCCTGCTTCGGAGCAGGGGACTCGAGAGTCACATCCTCATCACCGGATGGAGGCCTCATAGCAACGTCCTTGGGAAGACCTACAAGAGAAAAGTAGATGAAGATTCAATAGCGAAAGAGGGAAACTAGACATTATTATCTTGGGAAAAGAAGCTTACCATGATTACTGGCCTCCCATTGACCCTTCAATAATACGGTCTCTGTGACACAAGGCCTTTGACCCATTCCTTGAGTTCAAGAACTACTTCCGGTATTCGGGCCACATCTGCAACAATAAAAACATCGATAAGGAAGGAGATAAGAGGGAAAACAACAAGATTGAACCTTTAAGGCAAAGCGCGAATTACATTTCATGTTCCATTTCTCGGGAAATGGCATGTCTCGAGAAATGGCATGTCTTCGGCAGGGATCAGGTCGAAAGCCCTTATTTGAACAAACCGACCCATCCAACCTTGGTCCCGAGACTCGTCTATGCTCGAGAAGGGGCCTTACTGGCCCGACGAGCAAGCTTGATCAGCCCCCCTCGATAGAGTCAGGGACTATAGAGACGCATAAGGTGATCGAGCGTAAAAGGACATCCCTCTATTTTGCCTACGAAGAATCGGAGAAGGATTACTGTTCTCTAGAAGGAAGGGCGGATCTGGCCGAGAGTCATGTCGTACCTCTTGCAGAAGGCAATGATGATGGGGTCTAAGGGACCCAACATGAAGGGGTAAGTGTAAACACTTAGAAAACCCTCCACGTGGGTAGTGATCGACTCGGGCGAAGGAACCACCACATGCTTATCGACCAAGTTGCAATCCACTTTAACCTTGGTGAGGAGATCGTCGGTAATTGTGCATATGTACCTCGAGACCAGCTCACATCAGCTCGGTACCGAAGAGGTCTTCTCAACCTTAAAATCGGCAACGGTAGGGCACCTTCCTGGAACGAATTCCACGGGATAGGTCCCCGCCGCCGCCGGGTCGTGATGAAGAGGCGGCCTCCTTTTACGGTACGGTCTTAGAAGTTTTCGCCATTGAAGAATAGAAGAAAAGAGAATTAGGATGGTATGCGGTTTGATAAAGATTCAAGAAATTTAGGTGTAAGAGTTGCAAAGCAAAGGGATTTTTGAAGGAAATACAAGAATATGAGGATCTTTGAATGTAAAGTTTGAATGAAGGAAAGCTAGGGTACTTATAGCTTGCTGGTGATGGTTCAGAACCAGTTGTGGCCGACCAGCAACTGACAGGCATTTAATGCGTTGGTAAATGGACCGACGGCACGTTTTGATGTCCCTTTGTCGCTTATGTCATAGTCGGGTTCGTCGCTGATGTCATGGCCCATCCGGAGGGGATTTGGAAGTTCATATCGTTTCTCGTCATCTTCTCTCTGAGAAACGAGGGGACTATCTGTATACGGTCAAAACCGGGCTCGCCCCTTATGTGGTTAATCGAGACTGGAATATGATAGATTAAGGTTCGACCTCGGATTGTACCGAACCAAGGTGCGTGGTTATTGTTAAGTTCGACCCCGAGACTGGGCAAGATCGATATCAGACGAGATCGAGGGAAATTTTCCATGCCGAATAACATAAGGACAAAATATCCGCGATCGGGTGCAGATCTCGGCGGGAATCTCGGCACGTATCAAGGATGGGCCGGTTAATTAGCTAATCATGGGATTTCTTACCTTATATAGAACTGTATCAAGAGCACGACTCCCCTGCTATATAAGGAGGATTGATTATTTGTAAAACACATCATCTTTACGCAACATAAAGCAATATACTGTCATTTTCTAGCTTTCATTATCTTGTTACTCTATTACTTTGTTCATACTTCAGTTGGTACACCTTTGGTTCGAGCGCGGTTGAACTCGAGGGCCAAGGCAATTCGACTTTGCATTTATTCTTTTACCGTCAATCTCAATATTAATCTATTCTCTTAATTTGTACCAAGTTATATCACATATCCTTAAAATCACGTATAAATTCAATTGTTATCCGTTTTAAGGGTAAACATGACTCAAACTTCAAATTTGTCTTAAGCCTAGTAGGGGCAGATGTAATCCTCATCACAGGGATCCTCTGCTTGTGATCGTGATAAGGTAAATATACATCGTAGTTTAAGGCGGGCTGAATCAAAATTTCCTTAGATAGCCACTCGACCTACAATTATCCCTAAAAATTTGTGTTTTGTGAGAAAAAAAAAAAAAAAAAACTAACAAATGTATCACTAGTTCTAGTTGTCCTGTACTCTACCGCAACATGGGATCGCTCACTAGCTACAACGGATTAGAGGAAGATTTTATAAGAGGGTATTGATTTAGCATTCTAAATTTGACTGTACTTATTTTTGTTTCTTTTTGGGCTTCATTTCTCTAAGATTATGGTTTCTACTCGCGATTACTTTTGATAATTCGAAAATATTAAATTAATTTAAATTATATATAAAAATGCCATTCCATTCAAGAAACTCTTATGCATATTTCCTGTTCTATTTTATCTTTGATTAATCAAATTAATTGAACAACTTTGTATAAAAATTGAATTTAACAGCAGTACGAGCATTGTGCTTAGTTTAGATCTTTTCGTTGCATTCACTAAATTACCTGTACTTGGTACTATTGGTGTACTGCTAACAATTTGATGTATTTTTCGTTCTCTTTTTGTCATTTTTTTGGATCATATAAAAAACTTTCTTGCTAAATTCAAAATCTTTTCTCTTCTGCCGAATCCTTGGAGCACATAGCGTTTAGAGGAGCGTGCAAAGCTCATTTTCCTTTCAAGTAAAATATTAACATCAAAGATTACAAATCACTATGCTCTTTATTATTGAAAGATGGATAAAATGCGCAGTTAAATTTAAAAAAAAAGAAAAAAAAGCAGAAGTTTAGGACGGAAGCAAACTGTCAACTTTTATCACATGCCACGTCGGATCTGAGAAGCGAAATTTGACTGGCCGCAACTGCTGACGGAGAACCAATCAAACTGTGTTTAGTTTGGCACTTCACAAAATTAAGGTCAAACAGGACCCAACCTTTGCTAAACTAATTAAAACCCAAACATTTGACTGCATTATTTCTGCTGAGCTGGCAGTCTGGGCCCTGTTTCATCTGTTCCGACAAGAAGCCACTGAGGGGAACATAGACGTGGTGCCATTTAGTTCGTAGGAAAAATACCCTTTGACACTATACTGAGCGTTAGTGTGGAACTATTAATAGGGTCTTAATAAAATTAGATATTAATATAATCATCGAACAAGCAAATCTCTTCACTTTTCTCACCGTATTTTCACGCGTCTCTTTTAGTTGTAGAGTAAGTTTCAAAGGTTTCAAGTGGACTAGAAATGTAACAAAAGTCATGTGAACTAGCTTATAGAAAAATAATATTTCAACCGCCTTAATTTATGTGATACTTTTTTCTTTTAATCTCTGTCCCTTAAGGAATAATATTTTTATATAATTAATTGGATGATTTATAGCTACACAAATACATGACTTCCTTTAGACAACAAGTTTCAACAAAGTCTTTTGTTCTTCTTAATTAAACTCCATGCTCAATCAATTTTAGTATCACATAAGTTGGGATAACAGGAATACTTGAGTCTGATAACTTCCCATTTGTTATGACTTGGTCAATGGTAGAGCTAGAAATTGCAATAAGGATTAAGCAAAATACAAAAATGTTGTACGTTTTCTTTATATTAAGGGTGTTCAACAATCTACGCACACAAAAATATTATATTTATAAATTTTGTTATCCTATTTACACAGTATAATTTTTGACGAAGAGCAATCATGCAATTCTTTTGAACCTCTTCCTTACCTTTAACTCTGCCGTTGAATTCGGTCTTTTTATGGCGGATAAGAGAGAGAGAATAACGCCTAGTAATGGTGACCACTCGTGGTTATGAAGATTGATTAATATGTTGTTAATGAGAATTCCCAAAATATTAGGTAATGGATAAAGATTGAAAGAGTCTCTCAAGGTTCATTGAATGGTAATGAATCAAGAGTTTGAGATATCTATTCAAAGACTGATAATTCTCCAAATTAAGAGCAGCAAACAAAGAAGAGGCAACGCTAAGAACGAATTGTTCAGCCAAAAATGGAAACTAATGTTTGCTTTCGGTAACGCATGTCTTATCTATTGCAACTTGCAGGGTAACAAGTGGCATATAGGCACATAAATCGTCCAACCCTAAATATCACAGCTTGTCATATCCATATCAAGGAGAAAAACGAAAGGAATAAAGTTTCA